TTCCTTAACTTCCTTCTTATCCTTAACTCTCCCTCAATACGTTGAGGTGTGCCAAAGCTATCGAGAACCACGAGCTGCAGGACTCCTTCAGTCGACTGAGATATTGAGTCGAGTCGACTGGATCGCATTCAACCGTTAATGGACCCTGATACGTCTGACCGTTGTCTTGCCAGGAATCGACTTATTCTAGTCGACAAGTGTACGTCGACTCGGTCGAGAGCCGGGATTCTTGACTGAATATCGCGGAACCTTACTTGGTAGAGTCGACTGCGTTGAAGTCGACATGATAATTTCGAACCGTGATGATATGAATCGTTATGAGCCAGTATGAGCCAGTGTGGCTATATCATCTAGTCCCCCCCAAAATTTACTCGAAGCGATTCTGAGCTTAAGAGTAAGTTCTGGACGGTCGAAAGTCTTCCTCGAGTCTTTTCCCATACCCTTTCGCCTGTCGTTGCCCTAAATTATATCTGGTCGTTTTTGCGACTTGCGAGGCGATGTTCACCCAATCGTACTCCGAACTGATTGGATAAGTCTGGATCTTTTCAAATTTCAAAATTCAAAAGATAACACTTTCTCTCTCCACCGCTTCGTATTCTGTGCGCCATCTTGGCCGTTGAAAGTGACTTTAATCCGAGAGTTGGGGTTTCTTTGCCTTCTCTATAAGTAATCCTCACCTCTTCTCATCCTCACTTTTTGCACTTGCCTTCTTTAAGCTTTCTGTTTTTCTCCAGCAAACACAGCTTTTTCAAGCTTTTCGGCGCTCTCCCTTTCCGGCGTTCTTCTCAGATTTTCCAGGACCTTCCGTCAACCATCATGAGTATGAGTAAGTTTTCTTTGCCTATTCGACTTTTTTTCATGTTTTGAGATAAGAACGCCTTTTATTATTCTTCTGGGTAAATTATCTGGTCATGAGAACATCTTTTATTTTCTGGGAATTATATATGAACCTTCTTGGTGATTTTCCTGTTAGATCTCTGATTGTGGGCTTTTTATTTCTTCCAAGTGTTTTTCTTGGTTAGTCGTCTTATTATGAGAGATCGGCTCTTTTTTTTTTTGTCTCGGTCTTCCTTTATCGAGTCGAATGAAACAGAAATGCCCTACGAGTTCTTGATCTTCCTTTTCTCTTACTCATTTGGGATCGATTTATATGCTTTTTTTTTTCTTTCGACGACTTAATCTTGAAGTCGAGCCGCAGCTATGATGGTCTTCCTCTTTTAATTGTCGTTTTCTTTATTCTTTTCCTTTTTCCTTATTAGATCCCGACTCCCCTCCTGTTTCTGATCCTGTTTCCGGCTCTCTCGCCCTTGAAATCGACGGATATTCAGGCTCTACATCCGTTGAAATTCCCGATGTCAAAACCGACGCTAGTCGAAATGTCGAGACAGAAGGCTCCGTCGCCTCTGATGTCTCGTCTTTTGGTATCGACCGAGATGTGTATAATCAAGCGTTATTGTCGGGTACTCTTTGTGCGTACCCTGAGACTCTTCGGCTTAATTCCATCCCTCGAGGTATCCTTAGGCTTTTAGACATCTCATTCGCATCAGTCCCCTTTCTTTTTTTTTATAAATAATGGCTTTTCCAAACCGAATTTTTAACTGCAACTGCCTCCTGACGACGTTAGCCGTTAACCCCTTTTCTTGTGCTCCTGCAGCCGAAATCGATGGCTTCAGGGAGTTCAGCGGACTTCCCTCCGACTGGGAAGTGGTCGCTCCTAACCCCGAAGGCGACTTCCGACATCCTTCTCGTGGTTGTTTTACCTTTTTCGTAGATCAAATAATGTCGGGACTGCGCTTCCCGATCCAACCTGAACTGCTGTCAATTAGTAATCTTTATGATGTGCCAATAAATCAATTTACCCCCAACTCCATACGAATAATGGTGGCTTTCATAGTCGTCACCTGTATAGTGCTAGGTAGTTTTGAACCCGATTTTTGCTTTTATTGTTACGGCTATAGGTTTAGTAAAGATGCCCATTGTCTGGGTCGTCGAGTAGGTGTCACTTTTCTTGATGACCTTTCTTCCAATATTACCGAATGGAAGAAAAAAATACTTTTTCATTCGACCTGCTCCTGGTCAATATCCTTTCTCCAATGAGTGGATTACCAGCAGAATCGAACAACGCAAGCGTCCCAAGTCTCCGCAGTTCGCGGCTATGTTGAAAGAATTGAATAAACGTGTGTGGAGCGCTCGTCAGCTAACTAAGGATAATTCTTTACTTAACCATGTCGGTATCTGTGTTGACAAGAATGCTCCTCGACTTGATGACCCTTGTGAGTTTCCTAGTTTGTCGGGTTTCGTCTCGATTTTTCATCGATCGCTGAATTCCACATGTTTATGTTTGTTTGTATGTTCTTACAGCTCATGTCTGTTTGTGTTGTCAGTAAAAGCTTTGGCCCGTTTTGAGAAGAAGGCCGAGGCGGCCAGCAAACCAACCACTCGCCCTATCCCACAGGGGTCCGAGGGAGGTTCAGGGTCTGTTGCTCCTGCTGTGGCAGTCGAGACGACTGCCGCTAAGAAGTCTAAGGTGGTGCTTCCTTCGACTTCCAAGCCGAGTCTGACGGTGGGTTCTCATTCCCGTAAGAGGGCCCAGGATCAAGAGGACACAGCGTTGGTGTCCAAGGCCTCGAAGCGTCCTAAAGGGAAGGGGTCGGTGGACGAAAAGGATGCGGGGCAGTCGTCCCCTGTAAAGGTGCGGACGATCACCTTGCAACAGCCTTCCCGGCTGTACGACAACCCCGATCCCCTTCAAGTTCTCAACTACCTTCAGTCGGTTCTTCCTGAAGACGACCAGGCTCGGACCGACGGCAACCCTTACGAC